CCTTGACGCACACTAAATCCACACTATCTCGAATACCGCTCCGGGGCGCTCTTCGAGTGTATCCCATCATGCATCATGTTCTGGAAATAAATCGTGAGACTTTTTGCCGATATCACGGAAACCTTTCCAGTGTAAGTTAGATATTAATACAATAAATAGATATAACATATAATTTGGTAGAAAACAAAGTGTTGCACGTTTTATTGGTGTAAAGATGAGTAGTGGTATTTATTTTGTAAACATTTGCAACTTTTTATCACTTAATTAGAAGCACCACAAATTAAATTCTGTCATGTTATAGGGAATACTGACTGAACAGACATTTAGAAGTTGACCAAATATTAAGATGTGTGCAGCGCATTTTATGGAGGACTGTTTCCTGATCCTGGTAGAGTAGACTACAATGCCGGCTGTTCTGACTCACAGTCTGTAAGTACATTTTCATTTAAAGAATTTGCCACTGACGATTCAAACGTGAGTTTTGAGCAGTGTAGAGTAGGGCTTGTTGTTTGTCATTTCTCCGATCACAAATGCAGACATGGTTTTATGTTTACGTGGTGCGATGCAACGCAGCGCTTTAAAAAGACAGTATAGGGCCTTTCGCACCGCTTTAGTTCCAGAACTAAATGTACAGTACTAAAGTACTGGGACGATTTTGCGCGAACTATTTCCCAGTACCATTTAAAGGGTTGCATTCGCACCGAGAGTGTGTACTAAGAAGTGACGTAAGCCGGTCGACAGCATCGTCATTTGTGCGCGGTGTTCAACAACAGAAACAAAGAACAACATTAACAACAGGAAGATGGAGGACGCTGTGATCGGAGCTGTGTTTTTGTTGTGTCTCGCGGGTTTCACAATAATGGACATGGAAAGTCGACTTATACGTAAAGCGATTGAAAGGAGGACTAAGAATCTCCAACGACAACTGGCAGTGCTACATTTGCTACAAGTGCCTGCACTTCAGTGTCCGTCCATCTATCGCTGTTCTCCATACTTGCGAAATAAGTTGACACAATGTTTACAGTATGTTTACACAGCATTTTAAATCATGGCAGGTGAGGGCGTTTTCAATACGCGTTTGGCCAATCAGTGTCTACTTATGTCACGATTAGTTCCAGTTGTGCTGGTTAGACCCTGCTCTAATTTGGAGCTAATTTGGTTCTCGAAAAAGGCAGTCCGGTACTAAAATCGCACCCAGTTCCGGCAGTGCGAAAATGCCAAAAAGTGGGTAGTTCCAAAATTAGTTCTGGTACTATGAAAAGTATCCCGTGGTGCGAAAGGCCCTATTAAGTCATTATAATCCGTAATTATGTCCCCACTGGATGCAACAAATGCCTCGTTTGTAATGTATTTTATTGGTTTTGTCTGGTCGTGCCAGGAGACAGCATCACAGTATGGTAAGGGGTGTAACATTTCCGTCACACACTTGAGGTATCCGGCCAATCACAACACACTGGATAGCTGGCCAATCAGAGCACACCTCATTTTTCTTGACCGATGAGCTTTGTAAATGGCTCGTTTCAGAAAGGCGGGGCATAGCCATAAAGGAGAAACAATAATGTACAGTATGTGGAAAAGAATGTGTTTTTTTTTTTTACCTTAAACTGCATAAACACATTTCATTACACCAAATATACAAAATAATGTTCTTTTTAGCAACATCATATGACCCCTTTAAAAAGTCTTTGTTTGAACAACCAGATTGGTTGTACCAAAACAACAATTTACGTGGTGAATCACAACATTACAAACTTGCAGTTTGTATGAAATTGTATGCTGTGTCTGAGTAGGTTCTACATTAGAATTTGAACTTACTCCATGACCGCTAAACAGTGTGTTTTATATAGTATGTATATGGGTAGTATGAATGAAATTTGGACATACTTTGTAGTAGGGTAGTATTCGGATGCAGCTTTGGATTTAGTATTTAGAAACAATAACATTTATGCTTTTGTGACATATGCATATTGCATACATATACCTATATTAAAGTAGTTTGAGTTTAGGTAGACTGACTATTACATCATTCCCTTAATTTTGAGTGGGCAGGTGCTAAAGAGTTATTTTGATGGGATTTGTTTGTTTGATTCACAGACTTGAGATTTTTTTTACAGAATGGGATTTTTTTACTTCCGGAACTGTCACCGAGTCAGCATATGATTTAATTATTACAGTTGTCTCTGCATATTACGATGAAATATTGGGGAAGTATTTTAACTTTGATAAAAGTATAAGCTTAAAAACACTTCCACCAGTTTCCACAAGAAGTCCAGTTTAAAGGGGTCCTATTATGCTCTTTTACAAAGTCTTGATTTTGTTTTGGGGGTGTACTAGAACATTCTCTTATGCTTGGTGGTTCGAAAAATGCATTATTTTTCACATAATTTACATTATTAAAATACCTTTCTCCCCAGCCTGGCACAAACGGCTCGATTAGTTCCGGCTTTGATGAAGGTCCGCCTTCCGAATAACAAAATGTGTTGTGATTGGTTAGCTGTCCCAGTGCGTTGTGATTGGTCGAACAGCTTAGACAGTGTTTCATTACTGCCACGCCCCTTGCTCCGTCTTTCAACAAAAACTTTTGGGCGAATCCGGCACTGTACTCACTCGTGTTGTGGAGGCTGTCCTCAGTAAAATGCGCAGCACACAATAGCAAATTGGGGTTATAATGCTCAGGAACGGAGTTAAAAAATAAGTTGCAACCACTGTTTCCTGACATCATCCGCTTTCGGAAGCCCAAACAAAGACGTTTGGGCACGGAGGTGAAAAAAACAGCGTTTCAGGCGGTCACACACTGGACGAGAGTCGCGTCGCACCACGTCTTTAAAATTCAAATACATTATTTTCTATGAGTGTAGCCACACCGGAGGCGCCGTTCGGCGTCTGTCCGCGGCGCCCAGCTACGTCGTGTTATACTTGTAAGAATTGTTCTAGACATGCCGAAAATTTGACAGTGAGCTCCGTGCATGAACTGTGTTCCGATTGACATGGTCCATTACAGTGTCCATTGCTCCCTACTTCCTGAGCGGGGGAAATCCGTTGAAGTTTACTTCACTTCGGAATATTCATTTACAGATTTGCGCTGCGCTGCTGCCTGCAGCGTCTTCACACACAAACGAAACTTACTAGAGAAGCTTGAAGAGGGACATAATATACCTCTTTAAATAAATACAATTTAAATTCACGTCTCGCACACTTAAATGCCCTTTGTGTGGAACATATACGCTCCCTTCAAACTGGAATCATGGAGGAATATCCGGTAATGTCCACTTCGCAGGGCACTTACAGTCAAATATAACAAACGTATGAAGCAATAAGAGAAACACACAAAATGTAAAGAGCGGAGGTACCCGAGGATTGGAATTGAGAACAGCTGTTCTAGACATGCCAAAAATCTGAGGCTACAGCACAGCAGCACTTATTCTTCGTCGTCTCGTCTGATGCGCTCACTCAACCTAGCATTCTAACCACGACCTCGCCCCTCCCCACCCCCCAACCATGCGAATTTCTGTAGGCGGGAATTATTTGTAATAATATTCTAATGAGCCGCTTTGTGATGTCACAAAGCCCGGAAACCAACGCTGTAGTCCAAATGAGCCGTTCGTTGTAGTTCTTGAGGGATTAAAAAAAAACGAAATATCTCCCTTTGGAATGGACTTTGAGATTTGTAAATTTCTAGATCTTTTTTTATGCCCAAACATACACACTGATTAAAATTTAAAAAGCATAATAGGACCCCTTTAAGAAAATCTGAATGCGCCATTCAAGGATATAACCAAGTATTTGAGTCATTGAAAAACCATATTGGTCAACCAAATTCTGTTGCATCTCTATATGTAAATGATCATAAATTATAAAGGGCATCTGTTAATCCATAATAAAGCTGTTTTGCTCGACAAGAAGTAAAATTTTAGTTTTTTACTTAGGATGTAATGATTCACTCAACTCGTGATGTGATACGATTCACGATACTGATTTCACAATTCTATTTTATTTTTTTACAAAATGAGATTTAAGACCAATTATAAATGAAAAGGGTTCAGTTGCATAACCTTAGACTCTATGTTAAGACAGTGTCTTAAGATCTAGTTTGACAAACTAGCAGTTAGCCAAGGGGTTATCAGTTTTATTTTTTGGATTCAACTTAAACTAAGCTAGCTACATTTTTATGTAGTTTTAAAGAAAAAAAAGATGATGACTAGCTTGTAAGACTAGTCTAAAATTTTTATGCAGCTGGCCCAAAGTGTCCTTTTATTATTGCTTGGACAAAATGCTGCACATTTCTGAAATATGTCGAATAACATGATTAAATTGAAATAAAACAAACCCCAAATCAAAGAAATAAATAATACAAATAAAAGAAACCTCTTCATATAAACAACAGCTTTGCCTGTGCTTTTTCCATTTAAAATTAGAGGCCACCACTGTATTTTATTCACAAACCAACCATGCAGCATGAGCAGTTTTTAATCTAAATTAGATTGTATTATAAACAAAAACAGAATGGTCTGACTTTAGCTTTGTGGAACTATTCTACATAAAACATATCTTCACGAAACAAAACAGCAGATGGGCTGAATGAGAACGCAAATTCACTCTCTGACAGTGTTTCCTTGCTTGTTGCTTTAAAAAAAAGCAGCGCTGCTATTAATATGCATTATACAGATGCAAGATTAAAAGAAAAAAAACATCTAAACTTTTCTAAAGACAGTCAATTCCCCTCAGTGATACATTCATATAAGCTCCCATCCCCAACTGTATCGCGATTTATTTAACATCTCAACCGATTTGAATCTTCACATATTTCTATACATTTTCAACTGGTTTGAGGTGCATCGCTACATGCACATTTTTTAACATATATTTTGGAAAAAATTGTGTTTATAAGCTACATTTTGAAACCTATTCCTTACAAAATCAGAGATGGGATGAGCTGGTAATAATCATGCTATACTTTGATATATACTGCTGTATTGAATTCTTTACATATTCCATGTTTCATGGAGTTTATGGTAAGTATAGGCTACTGTATGTCCATAAAACATGATGTAATACCACAGTATCCAAAAAAACATAGCAATATCATAGTACTTATCATGTTTAGCGTAAAAATGATATCTCCACAAAACCTTTAGTTTGCTTCCACTCTAACAAGCATTGACAGCATGTTTAAGCTTTCAGTGTGAGGTTACCCTGTAATGAAGTTTCCGTATTTCACCTCAGCCCACATTAGCACCATATGCCTTAACATTACTTTATGGCTCCTTTGCAGTTGTTCTCCTTGATGGACACCAAGCCTCCCATCTCGAGGGCCAAGATGATCTCCATCACCAAATCTGCTATAAAAGCCATTAAAGTAAGTTGATCTTGAGGTTGCAGTGCAGCGATCACAACTGATACCTAATGCTGTTGGGTTAAAATATGATACAGTGTGTGTTTATGTGGGTACCTCAGATCAAAGATGCTTTAGCACAGGGATACATTTGAAAACCTTCCCTTTAATCCTCATTTTTTTTGTGTCTTCCAGTTATACAAGCATGTTGTCCAAATTGTAGAAAAGTTCATAAAGAAGGTAGGTGCTCATCTGGACTGAATTCGAGATGGGTGATTGTTGCTTGTGTTCATTTACTGAATGCTATTTTGTGCACAGTGCAAACCCGAGTACAAAGTTCCAGGACTCTACGTGGTGGATTCCATTGTTAGACAGTCACGGCATCAGTTTGGAGCCGATAAAGATGTGTTTGGACCTAGGTTCACCAAAAACATCACAGGGACATTTGAGAATCTATGCTTGTGTCCCACAGAAGATAGGGTGAGAATATTTATCCAGCGATACGCCTATGTATATATTTTTAACAGCTTTTTATTCATTAGCCTTATTTTATAATTTAAATGATTTAGATGCACACTTTATAATGTTTCTCTTCCTCCTTCAGAGTAAGATAGTGAGAGTGCTGAACCTGTGGCAGAAGAATGGAGTGTTTAAGATTGATGTAATCCAGCCTCTATTAAACATGGCTGCTGGATCTAGCAGCTCTACAGGCTTGGACAGCCCTGAGGGCGGTAAGACACTGTGTAATGTGAATATCTCATTTTAATGTACATCTTATCTGTTATGAGATTTGTTTTGTGATACAAACTAGTCTTTCTGGTCTCAAGTATGAGCAGCAAGACAATACCAAATGTTTGGGGTAAGACAGACTTGTTTTGAGAAATTAATATTGTTATTCAGCAAGGAAACTATAAATTAATCAAAAGTAACAGTAAAGAAAGAATTCAAGTAAATGCTGTTCTTTGTAACAATTTATTCATCAAATAATTATGAAAACATCTGTCACCGTTTCGACAAAAACATTAATTAGCCAAACTGTTTTTACATTTGTAATGAGTGTTTCTTGAGCACCAAATCAGCATATTAGAATGATTTCTGGAGTAATGGCTGCTGAAAATTCACCTTTGTCATCACAGGAATGCATTGCATTTTAAAATATATTACAAAATATATAAATGTTATCAAAAACTGTTATTTTAAAATGTAGTAATATTTCACAATCTTACTGTTTTACTGTATTTGTGATTAAATAATGCAGTCTTGGTGAGAATGAGACTTCTTTAAAAAAAAAAAAAAGATTTTACCTTACAAACCCCAAACATTTGAACTGTATTATAGATATTTTAATAGTCTCTAATTTAAGCCTCAGTATCAAAATGGTGTTCGAGTTGCTAAGTTTATTTATTTATTTGAATCCGTTCAAACTGTTCATTTTAGTTTATCAAACATCAAAAATGTTTCCGGAATACCTTGTGGGGCATTTGTCTTGTTTTACCTTGTTCCATTTAATTTTAGAGTTTCCTACAACTTAACAACTTCATTATCAATGTGTTTCTGCAGCATCTCCACAGTCTCCCGTGAGGGAACAGGAGGCTCATCCAGTGGTGATGGCAAACTCGATTGCAGCAGCTGTGCCTCAGCTTGAGAACTCTGATGCCTTTGTGGCTGTTGCTCAGCTATTTCAGTCTTCTCAAGGACAGCAGGTTAGTCCAGTGCACTGGGTTTCCTGCATTTCAGTTGTTTCCAAAGAACAAAACATTGAACACCTTGGGGTGTTTTCACAATAAAAAAATAAGCAAGAAATCATTTTAGTCCTTTTGGGATATTCAAATGTTCACTTTTTTCTGAAGCTTCAGCAGATGCTTCAGAACTTTCAGCCACCAGGGAAACCTCAGTCTCCAGCTGTGGACAATAACAGGAGTCACCACCACCCACAGGCCCAAACTATGACTGCCACCTCTACCCTCACACATCAACATATCCATCACGTACCACAGCCTGTGGAAAAGAAAGCCACCTTCGTCAAGGTGAAATTATTTTTTTTTATATATATATATATATATTTTTTTTTAACCTGAGGTGTAACGTTATACAAGCATGACGGTTCGGTATGCACTTCGGTTTTGACGGTACAGTTTCGGTACAGCAGGGGGAAACTAAACATAAAATTGCTTTTTTTTACTAAACAGTGGTTTACTGAACAAATTGCTTTTTCTTTAAAGGGGTCATATGATGCTGCTAAAAAGAACAGTATTTGGTGTAATGAAATGTGTTTATGCAGTTTAAGGTTAAAAAAACAAATAATTTTCCACATACTGTACATTATTGCTTCTCCTCCATGCCCCGCCTTTCTGAAACGAGCCGTTTTTCAAAGCTCATCGGTCTGAAAAACGAGGTGTGCTCTGATTGGCCAGCTATACAGTGCGTTGTGATTGGCCGAATACCTCAAGCGTGAGACGGAAATGTTACGCCCCTTGCCATATTGTGATGATGCCCTGTCAGGCCGGAGCGATAATTCAAAAACATGAAACCCCATTATAAACGAGGCATTCGTTGCATCCAGTGGGGACATACTTACAGATTATAATGTTATCATTTTAATCCGTAATATAATTATAACCTTATACTGTCTTTTTACGCGTTGCATCGCGCCGCGTAAACATAAAACCATGTCTGCATTTGTGATCGGAGAAATGACAAACAACAAGCACTACTCTACACTGCCCAAAAAACTCGCTTTAAATATATAAAATATAAAAACTCTTTAAATATAAAAGACGTACTTACAGTTTTTGAGTCAGAACAGCCGGCGTTGTAGTCTACTCTTCCAGGAAACAGTCCTCCATAAACTATGCTGCACACATCCGAATATTTGGGTTGAAGTGTTCTGGAAAAGAACACTGATTTCTAGTCGTGTCCATTTTTGAAAGGTCAAACAAAGTAGTTTCACTTTCACAACGAAACAGCGTCACACACCACGGTCTACAGTGAGCAGAGGTCGGATGCTAGCGTGAGGAACTACCGGAGGGTTAGAGTGAGCAGAGGCGGCCTACAGTGAGCAGAGGCCGGGGGATAAAGTGAGGAATGGCGGGAGGGTTAGAGTGAGCAGAGGCGGCGGGCTTGAGAATGTCGAGGCCGGCGATTTCGACGAAGGAGCGTCTGGAAGGACATGTGACAACTCCGTGCTGGACTCCGCTTCGTCCACGGTGAAAGCTGATCCGGCGATCGACAGCGCAAATTTGTAGTATTTCCTCAGCAACCAGCAC